CTCCGCAGATACTGAGAAGTCAGACAAGGAGAGGGAAAAGAAGAGATGGTGGACTTAGAAGAGGAAGAAGAAGAACACTCTCTCTCTCTCCCTCTCTTTCTCACACACACACACATACACACACATACATAGTGTGGTAGTGTATGTTTCCATGTTCTAGCGGTAGATTCATTTATTTTGTTTTTATTTATTTGCTTATTTATTCGTCTTATTTATTTATTTGTTTATTTGTTTTATTCATCCCGCTCATTTTATTGCAAATAGTGTTGGGAGTGATTGAAGACTTACCCGTCTTCTATCTCGCTCCCCCGTCGTCGTCCGAGTCAGCGTCGTCGTCGTCGTCGTCGCCGCACCGCATGCTCAGGTAAGCGCTCTCCTCCTCCCTCCTTCTTCCCCTTTTCTTCCCTTCTTCTTATAATTCCTTTCTTTCTTCCTTCTACTTCCTTCTCCCTATGCCATGCCGCTATTCTCTTCTTTCGTTGCTAACTCCAGATCGCGAATTCCTCTTTCCCTTCGCCCGGTCTCCTCCCGCTCTCACCGCGCTATCTCCTTTACTCGTCGTTTCCTCACCCGTCGCCTCCCGCAATCCTCAACCTCGCCTATGGTAGCAGCGGATGCAGGCGAGGTAAGTGCTCTTCACATCTCCCCCCCTTCTTTCCTCTTCTCCTCTCCTTCTTCGAATTCTTCTCCTACTTCTTCTTCTTCTTCTCGCGCGGCTATCCGCTTCTCCTGCTCGTGTGCGCTACCATCTTCGCGCGACTCTCCTCTCCGCCTACTCTCCCGAAGTGCCTCTGCTTCTGGTCATGCACGATCCTCCCCCTTGCCCGCACCCGTGACTTCCTACGTTGGTTGCGGGGCGGGGTACTTCGAGCGCAGTGTGTAGATTGCGTTGGACTCTAGGACCGAATCTGCCTGGTTTCGGAGGCAGATTCGGTAGTGTAAATTTAAGAAAGAATAACTACGGAACCAGAAAAAAAAAAAAAAAAAAAAAAAAAAAATCTAACTAATATAGAAAGTAAAAGGAAAAATAAAGGGAAACCTAACTATTAACTGTACCTGCAAGCCAAGTGTCGGATCCCCCTTTCAAAGGGGGCTCAGTCCTAACCAACCGACTAACTTTAACTACTTCTAACCCTAAGGTCGCGGGTTCAAGTCCCGGCCTTCCGAACGCAGGGTTAAAGCCGAGCTCCTTGCAAGAAGAAGCTAGCTCAGGGGTCCGGCAGATTCAATCCCTGAGTCTGTCGCCGAACAGTTTGCACCTTAACCTACTGAGCTAGCTCCCAATTCAAGTAGAAAGGTGTAGTGCAGTGGCTCGGACCGATTACCGGCCCGGGCCTGTCTTCTAGGTCTGCGTGTGCACACGCTTGCTGGTCCGCTTGCCTATCTGAGTGCTTGCCGGTCTTGAGTGTGTGTGTGCCCGGAAAGGGCACCTGGTTAACCGGTATGGCCCGAAGGGCCGGTACTCAGCCGTGGCCGAGACATTGAGGGTCGCAGCGGGGAAAACACTCAAGTAGCGCGGAAAAAGGCCCGCGACTCTAAGAGCCGCGGAAAATACTTAAGTAACAGGTGGACCGGTACCACACCAAGTAGTGGTATACGCGTGGGGAACCGATCGCCGAGCAGAAGAAGACAAACGTTAGCACTTTTAGAGGCCCGGTACTGTCAGGTAGGCGGGTACTAGGTCAAGTAGTCTCAGTCTAGACCCCATGCAGACAATATCAAAGTTCGTTACGGTGTCTCCCTCTGCAGAGGGACGAAGGCATCGGTCGCTCAGGTAGTCATGCGGTCAGGAAGTCACCTCCCAAGGGCGACTCCCTTTCTACCTACGGGAGGCTGAGCTAAAGCCTCAACCTCGCTTACGGTGCACTTAGTAAGGATAAAGGTACCGCTTAAGCAAATGTCAACAATCGGGGCGTTACCTCAACCCCGGTGATCATACACTAATAATCACTCCGGTCGTACGGCCGGGGCGCGTATTAATTTATTCTGACTGATGTACTGACGATTAAGTCTCAGCGTACATCGTAGATCTACTCGTCATAACATCAACCCTATCGACCCCTCAACCTCTTCGGTCGAAGGGTATTACTACAGATCCTAACCTTCACAGCGTGCGTCATAATAACGAGCGCGCATACTTAACGAAATGTTCTCACCGATTTTGCCCTGGCCTCAATGGCCGAGGAATTCGGTTCAAGCGTCACGCTCAAGCATGCACACCCCTTTCCGTTCCAGACTGGCTCCATTATGGTAGCCGACGTCGACACTGTGTCGAATGCAAAAGCGTGGCCAAATACCCTTGTAAGGGTATTTGGTCCGACACCGCCCACCCAATCCGGCTGCCCGCCCACCCACACCCATCGACCCAGCCCGACCGCCTGCCCGCCACCAACCCACCCACCCACCCACGCACACC